TGCTTTTTGAATACAGTCTTTAGCTATGGAATTTTAGTTCTTCTAGACACCTCAAATGACACCAGAAAAAAGTTTTAAAAAGTTTAATTTGAACTACAGAAACTCCTAACCAATACATATACATCAACAAATACAGTGAAAATTTAATTAATTCTTCATTTGTCTTTAGGACTAATACTCAAGACTAAAATAGTATGAAAAACTAACAATTCACAACATGTTTTTTTTATATTTCCAATCAATCCTATAAGCTCAGTGGATCAAAAAAAAAAGTTTCAAACTTGAAAAGTCCAAATAATAATTGTAGAAAAAAAAAAGTCAATTGAAGTCAATGATATTCTCCAAAACCTCACAGAAAAGAAATAAAAAATAACAAATCAATAAACATGAATTTGTCGGTTGTCTTGCGTAAAGGATGATCCACAGCTTCTACAGGTTCAAATGTTGTGAGTTGTACGAATGTTTCACAAATGAAGAGTTTAATACATGTCAAGATATACCACTGATAAAGTGAGTGACATAGCACATTAAGTCAATGTCACAGAGACATCGCTCTTACTTGTGTCATTTTTGATTCGTGTGTGCAAAACCCAGAGCTTTTGATAACCTAAATTTTTCACCACACCCTAACACAATTACAATGCATCTGTTAATTTTTAGAAATTAAATTGTTTTTCTGCAGTTAAGTGCAAAGTTACACAATGTAACTCTGTGCTCTGCCCACCGTGGGTATCGAAACCTGGTTTCTGGCATTGTAAGTCTGCAGACATACCACTGTGTCGCTGGAGAGCTAAGTATAGGAATTATAAATAAAAGAAGATTGAAACTGATTTATGTTACCTTGTTGAAACATTTTACATTTGTTACTTGTAATGGTTTCTTTCGTTATTCATTCAAGCCATCTCCAAACTTTTAGACACAAAATTAAACATTATATTTTGTGTAGATCAAATTTTTTTATTCTGCTTTTTCTAATCTAGAAGTTCGACAACAAAGACTGATAAAATCAAAATCTTACCTTAACAACTGTTATTATCACTGGGGGCAATTGAAAGTTATGATATTATAATTTTTTTGGTAATCTTTAGTATTTTAAGTTGCTCTAATGATAAGTATACATTTACATTCAAGTCACAAAACTATGAAAGACAACATCACAGCAAAGTTTGCCTTTTTATACTAAACTCAGACTCCCTATACTAAAACATTTCAATGAAAAATTGAAACTTTATCTACCACCAAATGCAACAAAAAACAGTTTCCTTACAACACCCTGTTGTCCAGTAGTTTTATATATTGTTTATTTTATAGTTAATTTTACAATAAAATAACAACTGTGAAATCTCTAAATCAATCTATTTAGTTTTAAAATACAGCATGCATTGGCTGTGTGTTTTCAAAATGCAATGATCTATCCATCATTGTAACTTTTTCGTACTTTTTTTCTTGAACAATATTTTATATTAAGCATTATCTTGTTATTGGTTCAGTTCTTTGTTTTTAGAGATACAAAACAATATATTTATTTAAGCTTCTACTATTTAAATTTATATATCTCAAATTTGACTTGTATAATTCTAAAACAAAATTTAGGCCTAAAATGCACCCATATGTACAGTGATCTTAGCGGGATACAGTGCGAGGTAGATAAAAATCTTAACACTGTACGAGTGTTTCAAATAACAGCAAGGGGTGTAGATGAGCTCAGCCAACAGGGTCTAGGGTAGCACAACAAAAACTGGTGTTGTTTTGTGATTTATAAAGCAATCTTTTTTTTAACTTGAATATAAAAGTTAAATTTAGGCCAAAGGGGAAGAAACCTAAGTTGTTAATTCCTGGGTTTGTTGATCAGTAAATCTTAAAAGAATTTTAAATACTTACTGCTTTATGGTATTTCAATGAAAGTTCAATACCAAAAAGAAAAAAAAACAACTAAAACTATACAAATAGTTAAAACAACAGAAAAAACAAACATTAGCTACCATTTTAAATCATTTTTTATTTTACAAAGTTTCATGTTTGGTAATAGGCACAGGCTGAATACAATACTTCAAGCATTTGTTTTAACTATTTAGGTAATTCTCAAGATGATGATGAGAATAACATATTTTTGAATGAACTGTTGAAGATTTTGTTTTTCTCTTTCTTTCATTAAATTCCTCCCATTTGAAAAATTGCTAAAGGAATTCTTTACGGTAACAGAATATAAAAAAAGAACACATTTTTATCAAATTTAAAAATTTTTTCCCAATGTTCATTATTTTGATTATCTTATAAAAACAATAAAGTAATGAAAACATTTCGAATAAAAAATTACCCTACCTTACACCAAGTACAAGGAACAATTTTCCGATTGGATAACACAAACATATTCATGCACGATGATGAACAAAACCTCTTCCGTTGTCCTTCAAACTGTAATGATATCCTAGGGGCTACTTTGGAATCGAAAAATTTGTGACAGGTGTCACAAATATTTGTATTGATCTTATTGGCGTAACGAAATGCAGCTATACAAGGGTCACTACACAATGGGTGCAATTTCTCTTCGTATTTCACCTATGAGAAAAATAATATTTAAGTAATTATTCACGTTGAATTAAAAACACTGTTACTTTCTTAAAACGGATACAGTATTCGGGTTCTTATAAATACAATAATTACAGTAAAAATTACACATATGTAGTTTCATAATAAAAATAACTACTAAAATGTATTGTACAAAATTGAAATTTTATTTTTGGTAGGTGTGATCATCAATGATTTTTTTTTTAACTCCACATCTCTTTAGATCACCACTTAAATAAAGGTGTGGTCATTGTTTAACAGTTGGGTCACTTAACAGATACCGAGCTGAAGGAGTTCACGATGGAATTTATTAAACTACCAGACTGTATATGAAAGTGGACTAGATAAAGATTCAGCTAAAACATATACAGTGAATGTAAATATTAAGAAGTGTAAATTGTAATTATGAAACACCCATGCCAAACTCTGACCTTGACATTTGACCCATGATCTTTAGAACTTAATCGGGTCTATAACTCTGTATGTAGTACAAGTTTCACAAATTCGATCACGACATACCCTGTTCACAAGAAATGAGTGGATAAACGGGCAAGGGTAAACTTATATGCCCCTCTCTGATTTGCAGTAGGGGAGATGAAAAAAGTATAAAGTTATAATTTTTACCTTCTTATGTGTCTTTTGAAATTTTTTAAAGTAATGGTTAACATTAATTCTACCAACCATACGAGCTCTTCAGCAATTTTTTTAAAACCTGTAAATCACTAGCAGTCAACTTTAAACTTGTTTCAGTTTGGATTATTAGAACATCTTCTCCGTGAACAAACGTACCTGAACTTTGGATGGGGCTACTTTGTTGCAAACGGAACATTTCTGGGACTGTTTTGGAGTTGCAGGACAATTCATCATCTCGTATCTCTCCATACACATCTGGCTACAAAAGTCTTTAAACTGACCTTTCTCCCCAACAGGTGCAAGGAACCCTTCTTGACCATTTGACAAGTCTTTCTGGCAGTATGTGCAAACCTAATATTTAAACAATATCATATCTAATCAAACTTTGTAAAAACACAAGTCTAAAAAGCACAGACTTTAAGACAATAACTTAGAAGCAGAACATTTTAAACAATTTTTACTCAAATGAATAGCTAGTAAATAAATCCTAACTATAAGATCATAAATTTTTCTCAGCTCAGACAACATGGTAATTATGTAATTATACAAAACAATATCAATACGGGTATACTTGATTCACATCTCTGTAAGCCTTATTGGCTTCAAATAAATCTTTAACAAAATTTCTACTTTTATGACATATGACATCTTTATGAAATGACACATTAAGAAACTTTAACTATCAGCCAAGTGATTTTACACGAAGGAAACAAAAGTCCAGTTCCAAAACTATTTTTATAGGATCTTAATTTACCCATCAACTTGAACTTATGATAATTTTTTTTTTTTGCCAAATAATTATGATTAAACTATATACAAATATAAATTACAAAATATTAAGAAAATAGAGTAAATCAGTAATTAAAAACTCTGAAACTGTGCACTCATCTATTTCAATGGCATTTTTTTTTTTATAATCGGTATATACTCACAAATGGGACAGAATATACGGCACGAGATCAAGGCTTTTTATTTTATTGAAATTAATAAATAAATAAAAATTACTTTGAAATTTATTTATGTCATACATACATTAAAATTTAATAATCAAGGTACTATTGTTGGGAGCATGCTCAACTAGGAGTATTAACCCCCACAATTTCCCGATGGTTATAAATAACATCTCGACTAATTTCACCAATGAATAAAAACCTTAAATTCATTCCAATACTACTCTGAGTGTCTGCTCTTCTTTAATTATACATTAAAATTGTATCAAACGACACACAAAATATGATAGAAATAATAAAAGTTATTACTTTTAAACCCTTCTTGAACTCCTCCAGACAACGACCAGAACAGAACTGACGAATGTCAGACCCAAACCGAACGCAGTATTTACCAAGTGAGGGTTGTTGTACAGGAAGGTGACAACAAGTGCAATGACTTCCCAGAAGCTTCTGGTATTTTCCCAAACAATTCTCACTACAAAACTCCATTGCTTCCCACATGAGACACTTCTCGCCACCTTGTATATCCTTCTGACACTGGGCACATACTTGTTTAGGCCCATGAATCTATGGGTTAACAACTGAAATATTAGCTCAAAAAATCCTTTAAAAACAAATATATAAAACTTTTTCATAAAAACATTTTTCCAGGAGTTATGTTTAATCACTAGTTTTTTTGTTTACATATCAACTATTTTATGAATATGGAAGATTTTTAATTTTATTTTACGTTAGCTGACAAATATATGAAGACAAACATTTACAAGTAATTTTAAGTTCAAGACACCAGAAAACTTAAGTGCATCAGAGATGAAGAAGACTTACCTTCCAAAATCATTGTTTATAAAGTTTCTTCAATTCTGATTTATCACATAACTGACAGAAAGTCTTACAAACTCGTAAAATTCTCCTTAAATATAAAACACCTTTCTGACTTAAATGACAAGTTTTTTCATATTTCTTCACAAAGCTTAAATAAGGACGATAAATAAACATTAATTATTAATTAAATAATGAATCTAAATCTTGAAATGGGTATTTTCACAGAATTTCTCCCAGATGCCAAATCTACAAGACAAATCATTTTCCAATTTAAGTTAGATATTTACTTCCAAATCAATAAAACTGATTAAGTGTTTTTTTGTTTTAATTAATAAAGTATAAAACTGGAGTGTTGTGTTGAAGCTACTATAGGTAGAATACTTTTAACATTCCACTAAGCTTAACTATTTGTTTTGCTTCCAAAATTCTATCATTTTGCTTTACTGATCCAAAACTTGAGGTATTTTTGATTACTGATTGGTTAGGAATAAATTTCTGTATTATCGTACATAATAATTAAAATATTTTGTTTGTTTGAATTTATGCACAAAGCTACAAAATGGGCTATCTGTGCTCTGCCCACCACAGGTATCGAAACCCTGTTTCTAGCGTTGTAAGTCTGCACACATACCGCTGTGCCACTGGGGGGGCAATTAAAATATACCAAACTAAAAAAAATTCTATCAACTACAAGTATTCATTATTTAGGTACACTAATCATACCCATTTCCACCATTCATTTTATTTTAATTTAAGCAAAAATATTCACCTGCTGATATCTTTTCATACACTCCTCAGAGCACAATGGTTTATTTTCTCCTGTAGGGGGCAAGTACCCTTGCCCATTCTTTATTTCTTTTTTACACAGTGAACAACTCTCCATAGCAGATCTGGACCCCCCAACACCGGGTGGCGGTGGTGCCAGCTTCTGTTTGTTTCGGAAGATTTGGAAGCAGTTGTCGGAACACAAGAATCGAGTCTTTCCTTGAAACAAGACCTGGTACTTGAGGCCCTTTGTCTGTGTGAAAACAGAATTTCATACATTACTGAATAAGATGTTTGTTACGCAATGGACATTCTGTGCCGTGCCAACCATTGGTATCGAAATCTGGTTTCTAGCATTATACGTTCACGGAAATACAGCTATGCCACTAGGATGGGGGCTGAACAATACGTGCAGGATCAACAGTTTAATTGGATAAATACTAATTGGTTTTAGATTACTAATAATGATCAAACTGATCAGGAACAGCAATGGTTAACATATATAAGATCAATAATGAACAGGCTGAAGGTGATTGATAACGATCATATTGTGGATATTCAACAATGTTCAATTTGTAGAAAATCAATTATCACAATTAGTTTGTAGATTATTGGTAAGAGTCAAATTATTTGATTTAAATGAGGGGAAAAAAAAAATTTATAAACATTATTGAAAATAGTTATGGACAGAGGATTGAAATAGCCGCACAAAGGATGTGTAGGAACCAAAATTTAGGATGATCCAAGGTACTCCTCACAAAATATTGTGCAAGATCTCATGAACTGTATGGAAGATTCTTAAAAAGAGTAAATGAAATAAACATGGTTAATAACAGAAGTGGTCAAGATAGGAAGTCCGAGAGTCTCGAAAAGCAATGTCAAGTACCTTAGTGTAGGCCCTTTATGACAAAGATGTCGTGTACAGATCTTGCTCACGATCCTGCTGTAAATACAGGTGTGAATATTACTTTTGAGAACATTAGCACAAACTGGTCTTAACAGACATGTGACTGTGGTGAATTTATGACTAGTAATAAACAATATCACAGAAAATATGTGGGTTGGGCATGGCCTAGAAGATAGTGAATCAGAGGATTCAGGAATAAGGGAGCCAGAAAAAATGAATAATGGCAACTAAATGGTGAATTTATGACTAATAATAAACAATATCACAGAAAATATAGTGGGTTGGGCATGGCCTAGAAGGTAGTGAATCAGAGGATTCAGGGTTCACACACCATTGCTGAAAAAATGTGCTTACCAAAAATTGGTTATATGTGCTGTTCACTAGCTCCCTTCCCTCTAATCCAAATTTCCCATTTTTGTTTTAATGTGATCATTCCACTGTTTGTGGTCCGATGCCCATTTCAATTTTTTAGTTTCGTTACCTCTTCTCAGCAGTGGTTTTTGAATTTTTTCTGGCTCCCTTATTCCTGAATATCTTGTGCATTTCCATTCTTATCTAACTTGCTTTGACATTAAACTAAAATAAAAATACTGAAGTATTAAATATAATTCTAATTCAGAATGTAAAATGAACACTTTGAAGTAGTTGGTTTGAGTGGTCAGAGATGGAAAGAAACCATTAATAACAGAGACAAATCATTTATACAAGCTACTTGATGAGGTAATACACATTCCTGCTTTCACGCTATTAATATATCAAAGATGTTGTACTCCAAGAAAGCACAACTTTCTAGTTTTTTTTATATAAAGTCAATTAAATACTGCTACATTTAATATGATAAACACTGAATTTATAAATACAGAATGTAAATATTAAATAATATTAGGATGCACAATCTAACTAAGAAGAATAACTTACCACACCACACTCAGCACACGACCGTGGAGAAGTCTCCCTAGAGCCTGAATCCTTTTTAGAGATTTCTGCAGGTGGTGTAGCTGATGATACTGCAGGGGTGATGGTGGCATTCCCACTGGGCTCTGTCATGAAAATAAGCACCAGTTTAGGTCCATGGAAATAATAAATCTAGCAATTCAAACAATCTATAAACTGTATAAAAAGATAACTGACACAACTTTTATATTACAAGGTGTTTCGATTAAAACCCTTCAACACATTATTTCAAGAAGGAAAATAATTTTGATGTTTTCAAACTTTAAATTATTTTATTATAGCTACTTGCGATACTACTTTTGAAAATTGAAAAGCAACATAAAGACTAAAAGACAATCTAAGCCAATACAGAAAAAATTGTGCTCATTACGCCACCTTCAGGGAAAAAAAACAAATTTGTAAAAAAACCTCACAAAGCTGAAATATTAAGCAAAAAACAAAAAAAAAATTTTAATGTTATCACTTACATGGATATGACTGGAGATTCAAAAAATTAGTATAAAAAAGGTAAGAAAAACAAACTGTTATGGAGTTAAGACCTTAATATTCAGTTAAAACCATAATAATAATGCAGGGCTACATTTAATCAACAATTGAATGAAAACTTGACATTTAATTAAAGATCTTAAATTTACAGTTCAAATAATTATCCTGAATATGGAACTATACTTATTAACTTGTGAATTTTACATATCAGTGAGGAATAAATATTTCCTGTAGGAAAACATCAAAGATATCTTAATTTTCTAAAGTATTCAACAAATTCCTGTAGACTTAATATCCTTCAAAAGTTTCTATGTTGCAAAAATCAGTCTCCAAACACCTAAAAAAAAATCTTAATTTACTAAATTATTTCATAGATTCATGTAGACTTAATGCACTCAAAATGTCAGTTTACATTATTTCAATTTCCTGCAATCTTAATACTCCATAGAATGTATTAATATATTATTTCACACAATGTCTTTAACACGCCTCAAAATTTATTAAAACACTACACTATTTCAAATAATTTTAATCCCGATACACATCAAAATAACTGAACTTACAATATCTTAATTTACTACAATAATTCATAGAATCAGGCTTAACACTCTTCAAAATAACTCGTTAAATCTCATAGAGTCAGACTTAACACACCTCAAAATATCTAACTTATTAAATCACACAGAATCAGACTTAACACAAATCAAAATAACTGAACTTACAATATCTTAATTTACTACAATAATTCATAGAATCAGGCTTAACACTCTTCAAAATAACTCCTTAAATCTCATAGAGTCAGACTTAACACACAGTCATATACTGGAGTAAGTAAACTGAATTACACAGGAAATACAGAAATTATATAATACAAAACAGACCTTGAGACACAACTGTGCCTATAGTTTCTTTGGTATTTTCATCAACTTTTTCATATCCAAATAAACCCAAGAGTTCATTCATTGTATCTGTGATGTAACCCTGTAAACAATCACAACCTGTTACATGCTGCCACATCATGACTAATAGATGCTATTATCACAATTATCTCTCACAAAAAATAAAATAAAAGCAAAATTACCAATCTTGTGGCAACAATTTCATACAAAACATATTCCACTTGTGTAATACTAAATTACGATTGTAATAAATAATGCGCACTTTCTATTTTTATATTCACTGTAATTTCACGGTCACGATAATGTGAACATTTTCTCACCGAATATGTTATGAGAACATTAAGGGAATGAATCACTCAGCCAAAACTTGCAATACGAAATTCCAATTTTTTGAAACTTTTATACAGAAAATTAATCGCAAATTTGTGCATTCCAACTAAAAATTTGATTTATCTAAATAAAAAAAAATCAGTTTTAATCACTCGCATCAAGATGACGGTTTAACAAGTAAGCTTGTTTTTGTATCAACTTCTTCTCTTGACTATTCAGATAAAAAGAAATTTCTTTAGAAGGAACTAGTATGGAAAATAATTCATTGCATATAAATCTAACATTATTCAACCATAAGATTTTTTCCTCTTGGTATTACTTTATAGTTTGTTAGAAGCTTGCAGTAAAAAAGTCTTTCAATGTAGTTATCATATTGGCCAGATTATGGGGCAATCTCGAATATAAGGTAACCCCCATTTTCATACACCATGGAAAACGAAAAAAAATTGAGTGTCATAACGTCCTTTTGTTTAGGTCTACAAAATCAATACTATAACTGAACAGATGGATTAACTACAAGAATTAGTGATGACCTTTAATGAAAATCTGGTACGCATGCATAGACGGGTGCTATCTGGACATTCAGGAATGCAACAGGCTAGAGTAGAGGGAAGGGGGCCCGTGGTCAGCCGGGAATATAAGGCAACTATGAATTTTACAGCCTAATTATTAATAAAAAAAACACTGCCTTATAATTGGGCCAATACAGTAATTTTTACGAGAATAATGCTTTCAGGAAACACTGTTTATTACATGTAAGTGTAAAAACTGGGCAAAGTTCAAAAAAACACTGCCTTATAATTGGGCAAATACAGTAATTTTTACGAGAATAATGCTTTCAGGAAACACTGTTTATTACATATAAGTGTAAAAACTGGGCAAAGTTCAACACGTACTTTCATTTCAGTAGCGTTTTGCTTGGAATCACCACCACTGCTATTTTCAGAATCTCCACTTGTTTTCTTTCCATCTGATGAATCCTCGGACTTTTTTTGATTTTCTTTATCCTCTTCTTTTTCTAAAACTTCCTCCTTTTTTGAGAATAAATTAAGAAATAGTTTTGGAACACACCAACTAATGTAATCTTAAGATACTGAAATATTAATCTCAAAACTTTTGTTAACATTGGAGTTATCTTACAAAATATCCCAAGGTTTGAAACAGATATTTTGGACACTGGCAAGTGTTTGCCAATTACTTTCTACGTTACTTGCAAAAGTACAATCACGGCGGCTAAAGGTTAAGGAGTTACGAGCCCTTAGATGGCGTAACAAATCAGCTGATGGGAATGTTAAGAAATTACCGAATTTTAAATTTCTCGTCTTTTCTTTAAGTATTATAAAGTTCAAACCTTAGTTTTAATCATAATTACATTTCCTAATATGAAATAAAAGAAAGACGTAATAGAAATATTTAAAACTACTCTGGAAGGTGTTATATTTTCACTTTCTATTTCAAAATGAAAGATACACAAGAATAATATGCAATAAGCTATAGGAAAAGACTTATTGATTGATTGATTACTGTACAGTGGTGTTCCCAATATGTTATGCTTGTTTGAGTGTGGTTTACAACTGATCAAACTATTTATAATCATGCCAATATCATCAACTGAAAAAAAAAAAATGTCAGTACCACTGAATAAATGCTAGAACACATTAGCTTTTTGACAGCTAGCCATCACTCATTGTTTATCTCCACCAGCAGCCAAGTTGCCTATAAATATTATTAAGACACAATTAGAAATAACTATCTCTTTGAAAAAAGTTTTAATGAAATTAACCAAATAACAAAGGAACAAATAACTGGATGATTATTATTCATAATTATTGTTACAAAAATGTAGTTATTCCTATGATGTTAAAAGTTAATGATTGGCAGATTCACAGATTGTATCATAATCATTTCTTTAACATAGCAAGGAACAAAACAAGTATGTAATCATAAATACTTTACCAGACGTACGTTTCGATAACAATCCAAATTCATCTTACACAGAACAGTAAAATATTTTACACACTTGAAAATATTTTATATTAAACTACTAAATTGTGAAAGATGAGAACAAAAGTGGGCAGGAACATTTAGGGAAGCATAATTAGGTTTGATAATTTGTTACATGTTGAGATAAAGAGAAATTAAATTATAGTTCCTAATTTTCAGAAACCCAATTCTGAGGCCATGAGACTAGATTTATCCTTGGTGAATTGGAATAACGAGTTCAAAGGTGATGTGTGACATAGACAAGAAAAATTTTATAAAACAAAATGCTTTTAATTCAAGGAGAAAACAGTAACAGGAAAGAACAAACTTCACCGACTTACTAAAAACATAAATGAGAAAATTAAAATTAACAAATAGATTTTTAGTTATAGGAACAATAGGATTTTGTTAAAAAAGAAAACTTGGAAATCCAAGAGGATTTACAAGAAATCATTGGCTAAAACTAATAGCAAAGGATATTTTAAGTAGTGTCAAGGTAAATAAAGCATTATAAAGGGAATTGGGCCCTTAAAAGGTGTGAGACAACTGTGAGACTAAGCTTTTAAATGTTTTGTTTGAACAAGAGAGAAAGGTTACAAAATTTCTGACCCCTATAGGAAATTGACCTGCATCTTAAATCTATCCTTTGATGAGAATTTAAGGCTGAAAGGTTAAAAATAAATAAAGCACTAGGTCAATAGAAACTAGGCATAAAAAAGCTAGCGTTACTCCTAATTTCAAATGGGGTGTTAAGTGTCGAGAGTTGCCCCGAGTCTGATGAAAGATATTTTACAAAATCTTTTAATAACATATGTCCCAGTCACAGTGAGAAGGGATGGAAACACTGCGAAGTATACACCCCAGTCACAGTGAGAAGGGATGGGAACACTGCGAAGTATACACCCCAGTCACAGTGAGAAGGGATGGAAACACTGCGAAGTATACACCCCAGTCACAGTGAGGAGGAATGGAAACACTGCGAAGTATACACCCCAGTCACAGTGAGGAGGAATGGAAACACTGCGAAGTATACACCCCAGTCACAGTGAGAAGGGATGGAAACACTGCAAAGTATACACCCCAGTCACAGTGAGAAGGGATGGAAACACTGCGAAGTATACACCCCAGTCACAGTGAGAAGGGATGGGAACACTGCAAAGTATACACCCCAGTCACAGTGAGAAGGGATGGAAACACTGCGAAGTATACACCCCAGTCACAGTGAGAAGGGATGGAAACACTGCGAAGTATACACCCCAGTTGCAGTGAAAGAGTTAATAACCTGTTACATTCTTTGACAATATTCTTGTTAACTTATAACCCAGGAGACTGATAACATAATGGCCACTGAATTCTTTGTGGTGAATTTTGAAGACAACAAGATGAAAAAACACAAGCTTAAGATTTGGAAGAGATAATTTAATTTTTTTTCTTAAAAAAAGATTGATTATCTTGTGGATTGAGTTGCCATTAGCAGCAGTGGAGGCTGGCACCTTAAAAAAGTTTAAAAGGTGAATCAAATATTTCTTGAAAAACAAAGTGTGAGTTTGATTCCTACTTTTATGTTCAGGGACGACATTGGAGGCCCAACATATTCCTTGTTTTTCATGTCTTATGTGACACGCTCTTACTCAAATTCATATATATGTTAAACATAACTTAATTGGAGATTTTTTGCTTCGAACATTTTTAGATGTTGTTTAAAGCTGCAATTGCAGTCATGAATTTTAATCAAATGAGGGCTCCTCTCTTCAACAATGGAACAATCACCAAACCATATGTCCACACAACTCATGCTTCAGTTAAGTTTTGATGAAGTCACACCTTTTACTTGAGATTTAGAATTTTCTATTCCAGCCATTTTCTTCCATGTTTCAATCATTTTTTTATACATTTCACGATTCTATTCGCCATGCTCTCAATCATGGCTGTGTTTCAACAGTACTTCACATACACAACTTAAGCAATTTGACCACAGAAGTCTCCAATTATGTACAGTCTTCTCAACCTAAACCTTCTCCTAAATAAATTACTTTACATCAAACTGTAGAGTTATAAAATATCATAAATTCCATTCTCTAAATTTAAACATACTTAATGAAAAGTGCGGAATTATTATGAGGAATCATATATGTTCTCACCCACAATTCACATACTTACATTTTCAACATGATATAAACCTCACAACACACAAACATGGAACATAAAAACAAACTCTCCTTACTTGAAAACTGTTGAAATCATGTATTTTGCACACAAAATATCAGATTATTACAATAAACAACATAAAACATATATATTAAAAAACTTCAAAATATGCACCTATAAAAATATTTCATTCCACCACAAATATAAGTAGAATATAAAAAAATTTACAATATGCACCTATAAAAGTATTTCATTCCACCACAAATATAAGTAGAATATATAAACTTTACAATATGTACCTATAAAAGTATTTTATTCCACCACAAATATAAGTAGAATATAAAAAACTTTACAATATGCACCTATAAAAGTATTTCATTCCAACACAAATATAAATAGAATATAAAAAACTTTAAAATATGCACCTATAAAAGTATTTCATTTCAACACAAATATAAATAGAATATAAAAAACCCTAAAATATGCACCTATAAAAGTATTTCATTCCAACACAAATATAAACAGAAAATTAGTTACAAAAATAATCATACAAATAAATTATTTGTTTTTTTTTATAGTACTCAATACTGCAACTTTTTTTTTTATCGGACTTAATTTGAATGACAATATACATACATATGGATTTGACCTACAAATAAATTAACCATAATTTACATAGAAAGTTTAAACATGCGTTTCTATCAAAGTAACATGTTGTGTTCTTAAATTGTATTATCACCAATTACCAGGGGTTGGAGGAAGTCCATCATCAAGTCGAAGCTCCCTGTATTATCACCAATTACCAGGGGTTGGAGGAAGTCCATCATTATGTCAAAGCCCCTGTATTATCACCAATTACCAGGGGTTAGAGAAATCACTCATTAAGTCGAAGCCTCCTGTATTATCACCAATTACCATGGGTTGGAGAAGTCCATCATTAAGTCGAAGCCCCCTGTATTATCACCAATTACCAAGGGTTGGAGAAGTCCATCATTATGTCAAAGCCCCTGTATTATCACCAATTACTAGGAGAATTCCATCAACCCTAACTTTCTATCTGAGTATCCACTTGAGAAACTAAAGATCTTTAGCTTGTCTTGCCATTTCCCCTAATACTTCAACTTTTACCAAAGGGTGTTCTGACCTCAGACGTTGTTATCACGTTGTTCACAGACACAAAAACTTGTAGGTTCACAGAGATTTTGTTGCTATTTACATTCTACAGAAGTAAAAGCAAAACTGAGGGGTGAAGATGTTAGTTAACAGAGACCTTTGAAAATTTCAGCTTAGAAACAAAACACTGATGTATTGTACAGTGTTCGAGATTATAAAGTTTCTTGGCAGGAAAGATGTTCCTTTTAGAGCCCATGGTTACAACAAATAATCATTCAGCATAAACCAAGTGTCAATAAACAATGGAAACTTTTTGGGAATGGTGAAAATTAGATAGATTTTTGATGACCTCATGAAGATCCATCTTAAAAAATATGCAACAGTGAGGATGGGTCAGTAAAAGGGGGCAGGGAAAATTTAATGTTGCCCTCCAAAACTACTCCCGACAAGAAGCTCTAGAACATTCTGTTTTACCTCCTAAAAAAATCATTGACAGAACTGGTTCAAATAACTACGGCATCCAAACGTACTCAACGCAAGACATCAGCACAATGGATCAAAGCATATTTATCATTGATAAGTCCTTTAACAATGCAGCTAACATTCGTGTAGAGTTTTGAAGCTTACAATCTTGCATCACACAACAATTTCCCAATCCAGTTTATGAGAAACAACTTGAACCAACTGTCCATGGAAATGTGCATGGTGATTAATTGAGAGAGACGGACGTGTTTGATGCAACTAATTTTGCAGAAATTCTCAAACACTTACATAAAGGTTCAGATATCATGAATGGGATGCTGTCACTTTGTGAATTTTGTCTTTTCTTAAATTTAAAATGAGCAATCATTTCTGTATAATCAATGTTAGTAATAATAATAACAACAACAATAAACGACACATTACTTTGCACATTCCTTAGCCCTTTCGCGACAGGAGCCCCTTTAAATGCTTTTCTGCGAAAGTCAGTGTTACATTCAAAATTTAATTAAACACCTTTAATATCAATGTATCTGAATGAAATTAATATTATAATGTATGTTATCATTCGAAGTTTTATTTTATCCAAGTTTTAAGTCCTTTATTTGAAATAAACCTTTAACAAATCACTTTAAACTTAAAATGTATTGTCACGTGACCAAAGAGTGACGAAAATTCTCTACTTTGACTCTGTATCATCAATAATATAATGGTAATTAAGTAGAGGTACGTCTAGACAATAAGTTCCTTACATAACCCTATGACTCGTTCATTTCAAAGTTCTACGAATGAATAGTTGAAAAAAGTAATACATTTTTTCAACCCTTGACAGGTGCCATGTTTGAGCTTTATAGCCTATATGTAGATGCTACATATACAAGTATATTTTCATTAGAAAGAGATCATTTTACACTATAATCTAACAGCAGTTGTATTTCCTCAGTTAGTTAATTATTAAATTTTAGAATAGGAAAAATTATTTTAGACTACTCTGTATTTCAAGTGCAACACCATTGTTTTCGTCTTATAACAATGATGATGGTAATTTCAAAGTTGTATTAAAAAATAATTAAGTAAAAAAAACATTTATCGATGAACAAAGTATAACTGTAAAACTTGATTTCCTCGTTATTGATTAAGGTTAAGGCATTAAAATTTGAGTACGATATATTCAGGTGGCCTGGTGATCTCTAGTATTGGGTGATAGAACTTATATGCAGTAGACAATTAAGTGTTATTTGAAAGATTATCATTAGTTCCACTGTAACATCTTGCACCCCTTATTCCTCAAAATGATACCACATTTCTAGAACATGAATCATATATGTTATTCAACAAGATACTTCATAAAATTATGTTTTAACTAAAATCTATGACTTTAACAAAGTAGCTTGTAAAACTAATCTTTGTTTTTGAGAGTAAAATACTTACTTCTGTTGATGGTTCAGTCTGGATTTGTTGAACTAGTCTGTCTGCAATAGCATTAATCCCCACACCTTTTTCCTGAAAAATATAAAGAAACAGTTAAATTCCTTCCATGTGGGCGGTCAGCATGACCAACCTTTTAACCACAAAGTAACCATCAGTTTCCATACTATAACTTTTGATATGTTTTGTGTATCATCATAAAATTTGGCAAGTCTTTGATACACAAAAAATCCAATTTTTTTAAATTAAGTACATAGATTTGTCTATGAATATATAGAGTCAAAGTGCTGACTGCTCTGACTGATTTTCACGTTAAGATTAAAAAATACTTTTCCTCATCTGAAAATTTTCAAATTTCATTTGTGTAGCCTCTAAAATCTCCTAAATAAATATAAAACTTTTTTCAGTATATCTTATTTTTTCCACCCTAACTCTATACAGATTTGGTCAATTTGACTGACTTTGTAACTACCATAAAAAATAAATAAATATAAATTCCCCAATTTTTCTTTCTAGAAAGATTATAGTTTGAAACAGGAAACTACAATTATTTATAATTAATTTTATTGTTTTACTGCCCTTTGAACCATGTTTAACTAATAATCCCTGCACATAAGTTGTAAATCACTTGGTGAAGGCATAGCTCACACTACCATATTGAATTACATAATGCTGATCGCGAGCATTCCTCATAAAGAAATTTTTTTTATTATTATCTTACCAAATAAGTTTCTAATTCTTATATTTTGGTTGCTTTTATAATAATAAATAAAGAATATGCATGAAATACCAAGAATATAGTATTTACTTTTGATCTTTTATTTTTTGCTGTTGGTCACCGATGAAATTTAAGCCTACTTTTTTTTATATTATTTTTTATTTCCTTAAATAATGCACCTAAGAACACAGAATAATAACACACATAAAGCAAACATTGTCCTATAACTACCATAATTTAATTGGCTTTGTATTGTGATGTAAGAGCCTTAAAATACTTCACAAAGCTTCTCAATTTGAACACCATGAGAGAAACTTTCAAACTGAAGACAAAAATGTATTTCTAATGAATACTTACCTCCTCTCACAAAATAGCTTTTCTGGATTAGTACTGCCCTCTATCAATGCACATTTTCAACCATCTGCCACTAGTCTTCCATCTCCCACTTCTGCATATCCACATGCAAATGATCATGCAACAGCTCTCCACCAATAGGAGTGAGACACCAGTCCTATTGTAACCAGTGCCCTCTTTACACTTGCACTCGTTAAGCACTTCAAGATTGGTCAAAATGCCTCCAAAAAGTGGGAAAGCTGGATGGGAAATATGAGTAGAGGTAAGTATCTATCGGAAATACATTTTCAGTGTAGGAAAATGCTAATTTCCAATACAATATCTTACCTCCTGTTACAAAATAGCCAGAATCCCACACTAAACTGGTGGAGAGCCAGTGAAAAAAATTATCCCCCTTTAGGAAGCTCCCAAAGAAAGACCAGTAGGCACGGAACCAAAAAAAAACAAACATCACACCTCAGCGAGAGACTGCACCACATCTGATCCAGATATACTCTTCACTCTTTTATGACTGTGTCACAAACATAAAAGGGGGAAAACATGATGGAATCCCAGATTATGTATGACTGATTAATGGGACCCCTGGGTGTCGAGTGGCTAGGGCACAACAGATCATAGTAGTAGTTTTACCTCATCCAACAACAGGTGGTATCTGGAATGGTACATCAGATCCACGGTAAGTAGAGGATCACCTACCTCTTCACCTCGAAATGAGATTGTTAGGGAAGATGAGCTTCCATACCAAATTCTTTCTCCACTTGTGTGCATTTCCAATACAACCAACACTAGACACACCAGGAACCGACATCCTGTGGATGGTAGGAAGGTAGAAAGTCCTGGCAGGATGACATCTCCAATCCAAAACCCGTCAGCAATGGGTATGGTACTTTCGGTTCACGATAGGAGGAGGATACCCAGCCGTGCACAAGCAGGAAAACTTGTGCTGCATCCAACTACAACCAACACTATATCCACCAGGAACCAACATCCAGCAGTTGGTAGGAAGAGGGACCACAAACCTGGGGTGCATCTCCGATCCAAAACCTGGCAGCAATGGGCATTTGTCATCCAGTCTGCAGGAGGAGGAGGGATACTGGACAGCATAGATATCAGGACTTACCTTTGTCAGATATATAGACAATAATACGGCATACAAAACATGGTGGCATCTGGAATTGTACATCAAGTCTGTGGTAGGAAGTGCTATACACCATTCACACCTACGGAATACCACTACCCTCCTCTCAACTAAGTGGTATGATTCATCTCCCCAACAGATAGAAACTGGTAAGTGATAAGGACTCCCATACTCCACTTGAAGAAAGGATGGAAAAATGCATTGGAGAGTCTGGAGGACCTCACCACCAGAGACATTGCAACAAGTGACTGGGATACCCTATTTTAAAACACAGAGCTACCATATTGATGGAGTCGATCAACCAAAACCTGGCATCATCTGGAATTATACACCAGGTCTGCAGTAGGAAGAATCTCAATGCCATGGAGCATCAGAGATGGGCAGCAATCTTTGTCAGCTTTATTCATGTTAGTCCATGAGTGTATGATCCAGAGACGAACATACTTGTGATTCAAAAAACCACTAAAGAAAACTACTAGCAGTCCTAAGAAACACCCAATCCTGCTACATAATTATTTACGCATAGAGGACAACAGAATTGAGACACACAACAAAACCCTGGTGGCATCTAGAATGATACATCCGTGGTAGAAAGGGCTACAGTGTAACTGACATTGAGCATGGTCATAGGATGAAGGGTACATATTTAAAAAACAAAAGTATACTTGGTCAGGCACCACTTGCCACAAAGTGGGATCCACAATACACTAGCTAAAAAGAGCAGTGAGAAAGTTGGAAAAGCAACCTTTCACAATTTCAAAATGCAAAAATTTAAATAAATAATAAAGAAGAACTAAGTCTGTAGTATAGAGAAAAACGTCAACAAATCTGCAAACAAAAACCAGCACATCTGTACAATACTACTGCTAATCAAGAAGTGATTATAGAGTGCAAATGTGAAGAGGGTGGGTGCTGGTTATGATAGGGGTTGTGTTGCACTCCTATTAGTGGAGATCTGCTGCATGATCATTTGCTTATGGATAAGCAGAAGCGGGAGGTGAAAGGCTAATGGCAAAGCATTGAAAATTTGCACCAATAGAGGGCAGTACTAACTTAGAAGAGCTATTTTGTGAGATGAGATAAGATATCGTATCAGAATAGACAATTCTCTGTACTGAAAACAACATAATATATATATATTACTTCAATCGAGAGTTTAAAGCTTTGCCTTGCTATTGATTATAAATAATACAGTATAAAACATCACAGAAAGAGAGGACCCGACAACTGGGTGTGGCAAGTTGGTCTTATTTTCTAGTTTATTACCATGTATTCAAATAAGATTGATGTCTATAAAAAGTAGACTTTACCTTCATAGTATCTATATTATAATGAGTAATTTACATTAAATTTTGTATTTCAGAGAGGGGTGGTAAATAAATTAGAGAAGAGAGAAGACCTAGAAAACAAGTGTAATGATTCTCATACTAAGGGAGATTAAGTATTTTTCAAAATGTTTCCTTGAAAATTAAGAACTTATATAATATTAAAATTTGTTTTATTAACTATGTTTTAATGCCAAGTTCATTTGTATACATTGATAATAAAACAGTTTGAATGTAACTATCTAAAAGATTGTGACATGCACACCTGACTTACCCATAGTGAGAGGGTTAAATTCCTCACAAGTTGTAGTTACTTCAACTACTTTTTTCAGTGTCGAAAAATAAATAAAACCTCCTTTCTTAAAAAATTATGACTAAAAGTGCTTAACAAAAATAAGTAAAATAAAAAATTAAGTATAAAACAATAAAATACCATTGTAATTAATCTGAAGTTCCAAAAAAAAAACTTAAAGAAAAAAAGAAATTAAAATAAACCTGAAGCCAGTGAATGATGAACAAAGCTATTCAGAGAAGTGGACTTGATACTGCTCAAAAACCAGAATGAGTTGCACCATTATATTTTGTCCAATGGATAAGTAATATTTTTTTTTACATCCTATTAATAGAAAAAAAATTCTTGCTAGATTTTCCCTCTAGAGAATCATGCAGGTTTCTGAAAATACTGAACTGCAGAAGTTTAACAAATATGCGTTAACACTTAAAAAAAGCATACCTCTATGAACTTTAGCCAAATATACATCTTACTATGGATGTAGTGTATATATGTATATATGTATGTGACCAAAATAACAAATATACTGTGGCGCCATCTACTGAATGGACCACAAACATAAATCCATAAAACCTTTCACACTTTGGGTATTCTAGATCCAGACAATTAGAAAAATAACTGTGGTATATGCAACATCCATTTCTTTATAATAAAACACAATTTTATATAAAAGTACTTTCCTCACAACAAGAACACGACTTTCACTAGGACTATATGTGAGGGTTTGTTTATATCTTTATTCATGTAATTTATAAATATAGTACTAAAAAATTGATTTCTTGAAAAATAACTTACTTCAATAAAGGGTACAATTTTTAACAAAAACATTACAGTTTATACCAGCAAAATCCGAACACTTCTCCCACGCAGTACTTCGCAGGAAAATCCTTTTTTATAAAATGTTCACTTTTTTCAAATTTTTTTGTCAATGAGGTATGAATACTACGATTAGTAATTGCTAGCACAAACAGCTGACCATACGGTGGCATTTCTGCTGGTGTCCTGTAATTCACAAACCCTCAGGACACACGGAGTAACAAATATATTTAAATAGAAATAAAAATGCAGTGAAATTATTATTCTACTTTTGTCTATAGAAAAAACCCAATAAAGTTTGACTGCCAGCGCTTGGAAGAATATATATATATCATAGTAAAAATTACAAAAAAATTTAAATATATGTGTTCATTTCTAAACATTTTACAAATTACTTTAGTACGTTGTATCATTAATGTTAAACCATGATCG